ATAAAATTGCTTTCCATTGTTTCCCAAAACGAAATCAATGAGGTCTTGTAAAGTTAATGAACATGTTCAAAAGAGGTCTTTGCGTAGCTCATATTCGATCATCTAAGAGATTGTAAAGAATTCGAAGACGGGGTGAGGTGAACCACTTTACTACATTACCAATTATAAATTACAAACCACTTTTATTGTTGTGGATGGTGTTTATAAAATTTTTAGGTATTTTATATTTTCTTATTTTTTAAAATTTCTAACAGTTAAGGAAGTGAAAAGGGGGAATTAATTGATGTTTTTGATGACGAATTAACAATGATTATTTTTCTTTCAAATTACATATTTTTTCATATATATGCAAGATAAAATTTTTATTTTAAAATCCCCCCTTTAAATCATTTTTAATATTGAAATCAACTTTTAATTGAGTTTGATACGTAATATTATTTTCATGCTCACTCAAGTTACTATATCTTTTTTAGCACAATCCACCTTTCAAACATAAGAATTATAAGCAATGGTAACGTACAATAAGATTATTGAAAGTATCTCGTAAAACAGTCAACATCTCGCAAAGCAGTAATTGTCTTACAGAACTGCAATGCATATCTTACAATTAATTCAAAACTGATCAGTTCTAATCGTTTGTGTATGCTGACAATGTCTGACCAACTCGTCTGGCGTCTAAAAAAATAACTCGTACGCTTTATTTTGCCATATTTAATAATTAATTATATTTCAGCTTTAATTACTGCTCTGTTAAACCAGTGAGCTCTAAGTTTCACTTAGTTAAATATGTCAAACTGCTGTATTGACTTTATAGCCATTTTAATAATAGACTTTTTAGATTAGTTGTAGTAAGTAACATCAAAGAGCGCTAAATTCTTTCTCTGTCATACACTTAATATATAAGCAATTATAATTAATTATTAGTGATGCTACGCAATAGGACTTTTTAGAACTCTTTCAATTCTAATCCGTCACTGTAACTGTCGCTGTTTGAAGGCAGGGCCGTTCGTTCCCGTCTGGCTGCTCGCGTACATTCTTTAGATTGCCGCCCCAAAATTAAAAAAAAAGGGGGGCTCAATGATTAATAAAATTTTTATTTCATACTCACTACAGTGACTATAATGAATTAAAAATATTTAGCCATGGTATCGCGAGAGTCCGGCCGCCCCTGATTTTGGCCACCCGCGTATTTTACGCCCTGCACCTCTGCTAGGAACGGCATGGTTTGAAGGCTAATCCACGAATGTGAAATTCTTCGTTAAAACTTTGCGGATTTGTCAGGTTTTCTCCATTTTATGTATATGTGTGTGTGTTGGTGAGAGAAACATTTTGTTATTTTTAACTTAATCACCAGTGGCAAAAATAGCAGGAGAAACAGAAATGAAAATTTTTATTTTTAGTAATAAAAGTATCTTATAACCGTTTAGTTATGCTAAGGGATTAAACACTTTTAATGTATTCTAATTTTAATTGGAAACATTTAAAAAATTTTGATAGTTTTGAGATTTTTCTTAGGCAGTTTTAAATATGTCGAGATCTGATAGTTGAAGTATAACCCGTGCATGGCAGGATCATAAAACCGTGGGTTTCCACAGTTACCTGACGTCACCGTTTGATGCCCTGCATCCTTGAACCGGTCCAACAAGTCCCCTGAGTTTATAGATGATGTTTATAACGAGGGGAATGTTAGATTTGGCTACCACTCGCCAATTTCTGCGACTTTTTTTTTTTAATTGGGTGTATTATTTTTTAAACAAATATCAATTCTCCCGCGTTTAAGGAAATTAAGGCTTTTACTAAGGAAAGTATTTTCTAGCGATGAATAAATTTTACTGAATGAATGAAACTTAAGCTGTACAAATTATATTCTTTCACTTTTACTGATTTTCTGAATAATTTTTCTTGTTAAATTTTATTTCATCTGAACTGTATTTTTTCCTATTGCATTTTATTGACCTTTTTCTTATTAAATTTCCTTTTATTTGAATTGCCTTAATTTACTGCAGACATTTGTAGATTTTGATATGAAGATGCAACTAGTTTTTAATCAGTTGATATTTGTATTTATTTTACTTCAGTATATGGTATATTATTAAGCTTATCCAGATAAGTATTATGTACACTAATTATTAATTTACTTTTCATCGTATTAAAAAATACTTCAGTAAATAAAAGCTTTTCTTCCCTATTCGGAATTTTCTCAGTGTAAAAATGTAAGAATAAGAAGATCAAGTAAAATTAGCCAAAAAACATAAAAATATAGAATGTTTCCTCTTTTTCATGATGAGCCATCAAATGTAATGTTGTTCCTGTGGGCTGTCTCATTTAAAACTGGACGTCTTCTAATTACTTCAGTTCTTAGGCTTTCGGTTACATGTACATATTTGACGCCTCAAACCACTTATCTGGTTCATGTTTTGCAGCAAATTATGACAGAGCCTTGCTGTTTCTATTTCTTTAAACGTATTTAGGCCTTTCAGAGATTACAAGGACAGCACATCATCAATGTTACTTGTCTCACAATATTTTCTGCTGAATTATCTCTTGAGATAATAACAATGTTAATACTTACAAGTTTCTATAAAAAGTGCATAATTTGCAGAGGGAGATGAATGTAGTCATACTTTACGATTTTAAGTTAAACAAAGATAATGAAATTAAATTTGTAATAAGAATTTTGAACGTATTATTCATCATATTGAGAATTTATGTATATAATTACAACAAAAGCTTCTAATATTTATCATTAAGTATATAAAACTTAATAACATAATGTCATATACAATAGATATGGATTATCTTAGACATAATATTAGTTAAAAATTGCTTAAGAAAATGTAAGGTATGAAAATAGTTAAGCTACTTGATTTTGATTTAAAATGAAGTTCCTCGAATACATGCAGTTCTCAGAACGGTATGTAGAACACTGAAGTTATTTGATTGTTTCAACATGCTTTTAATTTAAGCATGTGTAAAGGCATCTGGCTAGAGATTATATTCTATTCAAGGAAAATCCGGAGCAACTATATTCGTTTTACGAAATTCTCTAAATATTCGCGAAAATTATCCAAACTAAAGGAATTATGTTAATTTCTTTTAAGCTATACTATGTATGGAAAGCTTCTAATAGTGATAAAATGGCATAACCATAAATTGATTTAAAAAATCTCTTCATTAAAAAAAAAAAAAAAAAACCCTACATTGTTTATCTAAATAATTTAATGTTGAATCTTCAATTTTTCTTTGATTTTGGCATGTGATATCTGTGTATCTATCATTGGTATACACATGCTGGAAATGTTAGTACAATCAGTACTCTTTATAATGATTGTTCCATTGCAGTGAATGATACAGAAAGACCCCAATTCTATATTAAATCAGTTTTTGCTAAAGTGATTGCATGCTGTAACATTCTTTTTTGGCTGGACATAAAAGATTATTATAACAAGCATCATAATAAAACAATAATAAAACAATAATAAAACAATAATACAACCATAATAAAACAATTGTAAAAATATATTGTAATTGATTAATTAGCTTCTGTTGAATAAGATTTAATTAGTCATTAAAAATTATGTTTGATATTAAGCAAAGAACTTAGGTAATTTTCTTAAATATATTTAAATAAGTACTGGGATTCATGTGCACCACAGAATTTCAGTAATCTGTTATTGTGAAAATAATTGTAAAAAGAATGAACAAAATTAACTAATCAGCTAGTGGTAATGGGAAGAAAGGACATATAAGATAGTAAAGATTAAGTAAATAACAAAGTATAATATGGTATAGATTTTTATAGAAGACTGGAAAATTTTGAACAGTAAAAAAAAAGGGGGGATTTAAAATGTTTTATTTATTCATTTTAAAATTATATTCAATTATCATGCTACATGAGAGACATACAAATAATTTAATTATCTAACCAAAGCAGTAATGGATATATCGTCAACAATGAGTTCAGGAGCATTATTAATCTTTATGCTAAACTTACTCCTTTTCATGCATGGAAAAACATCTGCATCCATAATAAAAGCATTTCCTGCCCCCCCCCACACACACTTTGAGATTTATTGAATTACAGGTGCTCCATTCCTTCATTTTCGAAGCCCTCAACACTCTCTCACCTCCAGAAATTCGGAAGTTGTTTTTACAATAAAGCTGATTGACATCACCATAAGGCTCATATATTGTGATCATCATAAGGCTAATCATCAAATATGATGGAAATTGCTTTTACAATAAGGCTGATTCTCATATTGACATCATCATGAGGCTCATATTATCATTATCATTATCATCATAAGGCTGATCATAAAATATGATGGAAATTGCTGTATACAATAAGGCTGATTGTCATATTGACATCATCACAAGGCTCATGTATTATTATATGATAAGTCTAATCATCAAATATGACAGTGGCAATATAGCAGAATCATTAATGTCTTCCATCAATTATGAATTGAAGGTGCTCGTGTCACAGGAAATTAGAATGACATTATACTGCATATTTTGTGTGTTTGTGTTTAAATTTCTTTCAACTGACATTTATGAAGTTTCATTTTTATTCAGTTCCTGATGCTGAATATTTGGAACTTCACAAAAACAAAACTGAAAAAAATTTAAGCCCCCCCCTTTAAGGAACTACATAAAACTTTGTTTTGCTTCTATAAAAACATTATAAGGATAGACATTAAAACTAAAGGCTCAGCCTGCTGTGCAACTATATCCCTTGCATACCTCTATATAACATCACTGAATATTTCATAATTTTGAGGAATGGCAAGAGCAAGTTATTGCTGATTTGCTATCTTTATTTAAATAAAATGGAGGGGGATATTTTCTAGTGCCCACAAATTTTTATGCTGTAAGCCAAGAAATACTAAATATCGTATCTATCAGGATTTTAGAAGTTTATTATTTTTTCAAGTTTGTCTATTTATGTTTATTGGATACATTTTCCCATTTTTATATATTTTTCATTTTCTTTTTACCAGCTTTAGATTTGGCCAGAAACAGCAATGTGCAGGATGCTTTTGTCATTGCAGTTGAACAGCAAGCTAGAGAAAGGTTGGAGAAACTATCTGCCCTTAAAAAGATCAAGCCAGTGGACATGACGAAACTGTCTCAAGAACTGAATGAGTGTACAAACAACACACCAGAGCTAAATGGTGTAATCGAAAATAATCCTATTTATGTCACCACTGTGCCTGAAATACACAATGCAACTTTAGAACGTGTGAAAAAAGATCGCCTTGATAATTATGTGAACAGTCCATCAGATGCACCAGCTGCCAATAAATCCCGTGATCTTTCTACCCAAGGCCTTAATGGCCATAGTCAAATAGGTATTGCTGATCATGATATTCATGATCAAGAATTAGAACTGAAACAGGAAATTGTAGATAGAGAAGGCTATGATGAAACATTTTCGCCATCTTCACCTGAGACCCCACCTCGTGAAAGGTTGCTTGTTGAGTCTCAGAATGGAATAGACTGTGTATCTACACGATTTTCACAGGAATGTGTCTCAGTAGAGACATTGCTGCCAAACTTGCCAGATAAACTCAGGTCTTCACCAAGTGAAACTCATGTACAAAAATATCCAGCAAATTCTAAACAATTACCTGTAAGTGAACTTGATGCATCAGATGCATCAAAGGTAAAGTATGGCATTATAGACAAAAACTATGTTCACAAAACAAATACAGTGGAACCTGGACTTGGAACTCATCGTGAAATGGCAGTAGATGTGCCAGATTCTTTTGTTGGTGTTACTAAAACTGCACCAAGGTACCCTCCACAAAAAATTTCAGATGCCACTGAGTCTCGAAGAGAGCCTCATCCTGAATTTTTCATCAATAGTTCTGGAGATAGTAGTTCCACAGAAAATGATCCAAGTCTGAAATTTAACTCCATGTCTCAAAAGAATGCAGTGAATAGTAGGTATAATTTTATCAATAAAGATGCAGTTCCAAGACTTAATATTGATTCATCTGAATTGGATGATGAAAATTTAGTGAATGCTAGTGAAGAACAGCTAGAAAGGATACGAAAGTACCAAGTGAGTGAGTTTTAGTGTATTAGTCTTCAAATTAAAATTTACTAACTATTTATTGTATTAAATGACTTCAGTCTATTAAGTGATAATCAGTATTGTTAGTAACTGAATGATTATCTCATGAAATTAATTGTTTCATGAATGAAATGAAATTGTTTTACTAATTAATTTCATTTATATGAAATAAAAATTAATTATTTTACTTTCATAAAATTGTGAAAAGTTCATAGTTTTCGTATATTTTGTCTTTTAAATTATTAAGCTTTAGACTTAAATATTGTGATGTAAAATTTTATTATGAATAAATTTAAATTCACCCATCACAACAGATAGGTTTATGGGGTTGTACAATCATGGTAGTCAAGGTGCTGTATTCCAGAAAGCCTCTAATAGATAAAAATAATGATAAACAACTTTTGCATTTTAAGATAAGGGATCTTGAGAAGTGTAGGTGAGATGAGGCACTCGCTTTATAGAACAGTCACTTTCACATTTGCACAAATATCATGGGGTTGTGTAGAAACTTTTCACAAATGTCAGCAGGTGGATCTCCACCCCTTAAAAAGTATCATTAGTAAATAAAATAACCTTTCATGAGCTGTAATAAAAAATAACAAAAGATTAGGGAACATAAATCCTTCCTTCAGAATATGTACAATCTTTGCTATGCTTATAAATTGGCCCTTTTCAAGCAATGCACCATTTTACAGTTTGGTGGCTAAAATTCTACAAGCGTGCCTCAGCACACTGCTGAACATTAAGGCTGCTACACCTGGAAGGAAAGTAAATAACAAAATCTCATTATAATGAGGAGGAAACATGATTAAATTTGCTGTTCACAAAGTGGCATTGAGTCGAACTGAGCTTAGAGGACAGTTACATGTACTTCATTCCATATACTTTCAACTCTGTGCCAGATTTCATCAATTGTAGTGGCTGATGTGTGTTGAAGTTTTCAGTCCCTCAGCAGCCTATGACCAGATGTTCTGATTGAGTGAGAAATCTGAATTATATGCTAGCCAGGGCAACATTCGAACACCCTTAATATGGAGGAAGATCAGGACGGCATGAGTAACATGCAAGGGCATTATCTTGTTGAGAGGTGATGTGATGCGGGCATCAAAGATGGGGCACAGCCATAGGCCTTAACACATCAGATATGTGAACAAGGGGTATCAAGATGTGTACTCAGTTATATCCCATGCCAATATGCCAAGTGCTGGGCCTGTATGGTGATGACAGATCATCGCCATGCTGACAGTCCACGTTACTGCAAACATCATTTCAGTGTCTGTGTGGTCACTTATCACCTTGCTTAGTTCCTGTCTTAGGGTACATAATGTGGTTGTAAGCAGCAATGTTGCAGAATGCTAAAATGCACCTTGATAGGCCATGATCCCGTGGCAGAGGAATTCTAATACACACTGGTAAGAGTTTTTTCTTCTTACACAAGGCATAACACAACCTTGCACAAAAAACCAGTGTTCAAATTGGACTTCCAAGTCAGGGCTTAATTTCCAAAATTAGAAGTGTCGGAGCCCTATGGGAGACTGTCAGAAAAAAAAAACAGCAAAAATAAATAAAGTGGCTAATAAAATAATGATTCAACAATTAAATAATTAGTTATTAAAATTAAGTAATTAAACAATTGATATTAAAATTTAATAAATGTAAGACATAAATAAAAATATAAAAAGTTATTAAATAAATGATAAATAATTTAATATGAAAATAAAGCACTGGACCTTGACTTACTTGGGGTGTCAGATGGAATTACAATTTCACACAAAAAATAAAAAATAGCTCAACCTGTATCCAGTTTTATTTAAGCTCTGAATATAATATACTACTTCAAGGGATGATAGAAATGAAGACCATTTGTTTTCCAATAGACCAATAAAAAACATTAAAATGGTTAAAGCATTACTAATGAAAATATAAAGAATGCTATCAACAGTAAGAGATAACGGAGAAAATTTTAACGGATGACGTGTAGGTATGAGGGGAAAAAAGAGAGAGAGGAGTCCAGCATTTTCTGACCACAAACTCCTGTCAATATAATTCCAGCTGTCAAGCAGAATATGACAAGAGAACAAATTCTCACTGAATCTGAAGGTTAGTTGAAAAAAAAATGTAATAAGTGACAATTTTCATCCCCCTCGGCGTCTTTGGTTATATTGTTCCAAAAAGTCTGCAGGAGCTCTTTTCTACGGGAAGACACTAGCATTGGAACGAAAAATTTACCCATTGTTATAAATCCAAATAAATTAAAGCCTGAATGTTTATACATACCTATCAGATGAATTTAATATTTTCTTCTGAATTTTCAACCTTCCACAAATGTATTAGAATTGTACCGAATTATTAAGTGCTTCTTAATGTTTTTAAAAGTGAAAGATCTTTAGTTGTGAGTACATGTCTTTATATCATGCTAAATTTTTTTGACATCTACTGTAGTTATTGGAGCATACGTGACTGCCTCATTATCTGTAAACTTGCCTTTGTTTCAAAAGGGTCTGCTTCTATCAAGATCAGGGATATTTTTCGTGCAGTTTGGGAAGCCACATTGTTGGATTTAACAAAATGCAGTACTTGAAACTTTGCTTTTGACCTTTTTTAAAATGTCACCTAATTTGTCAGTGTAATTTATTACATCAACTAGTTCCATATTTTCTCTTGTAGGGTTTTGTTTATATGATTACGCAAAGCCTCGACGGCTATCTGCTTAAGCGCAGGGATGCCTTCATGGAAGACTTTCTAAGGGAAACTGGCTCATGTGAATATTACACATAGGTAAAACCACGAAAACGTCTGTGCAGCCAGCCCGTTGAACCTCAGGCTGAACTACCAGTGTTCAGTGACTGTACCGTTTGGCTGGTAGTGGTCATGCTCTTGTAGGGATTTAATGGTTGAAATTTGGATCATGAAATTGGATTGGATGTACACAAGATTTCTTTCAATTTTGTCTCCAGGGAAACTATTCTGTGCAATTTGAATCGAAGTAGCATTCCAGATCCGGCATTTCTAATCCAATAGTACCGTTTTAAAAATGAAGAGGTTCAAAGTCATTCACAAACTTATTGCCAAAGGACTTTACCAACTGAACAGACAAAGAATATAAAGGGGATTTTATTGAGGTAAAAAAACACATTGCACATAGCTGTAATATTAGAAATGTGTCTGTGGAATAGCATTTTCCGTTCTGCATGTAATCCTATGGAACTGAGCATGTACAAAATGTTTTCAGAGCTAAGCAGTGCAGGTCTGGAAAAATTCTTAGAAGTTACATTCGCATTTTATGAGAAATGGCCTGTCTTATAGATAAGACGGTACTTTTCTGTTATACACCCATTATGTACTTTCCACTGCCATGTATTTTGGTGGTATTATTGTAATAATTGTGTGTATGTGTGTTTAATTGTTCTTGTTTACACACACATTCACATAGTCTCCAGATGGAGCTGTCATCGGCATATGTCTGGCTACTCTTTCATAGGCATAAAAAATGTCGCAGGTGCATAATGAAAAAGTACCGATGGAACTAATAGATTACATAAGTTTTCTATGGCATGCCTGTGAAGGACCCGAGACATTGGACTAAGGAGACATGGCACCCAGACGTAGCTAAAAAGAAGACATACACAGTTAAACATCCCAACCCTTGGAGTCGATCCAAGAAGGCTAACACCCCCCTGAAATGATCAGCGAAGGAAAACAGAAAATCACAAAGTCTGAGTAAATGACAACACTTAGTCACATTCATCAACAAAGGGAATGAAAATCAAGGGGTCTGTCCCCTCTGTGCTGACCAGGGGAGCCAACCCCCTTGGACAACCTTGTTGTAAATCTAATCATGTAGTGTCACCACAATCAAGGGGCAGACAAAACAGTACTATATGGTCCCTGCTGAGCCTGAACCTACTACCATATAAACATTGATTCTAGTCACTGTGAAGACTGATAAGTTTTCCCCAGAAGTTGATTCTGTATAGATATTGACCTAGCTAGAATGCCAGGATTGTTTCCAGTCAACCCTCAGGGGGAAGAAGGAGCTGAGACAATGTATTTCAAAGGTAACTTTAATTTTCAAGATCTGTGTACTGGAAGCATTGTGAAGAATTAATGTTGTAAACTCATTCTCTGCTGTCATTTTAGCAATGTACCATTCATACTGGATTGATGGTATGGGATGCCAGTGTACGTACATCCTGTTCACCTGTAGTCCACATATCCTATAATTTGACCAGCTGTAGTTGCATTATTGAAGTTGATTACTTATGATGGTTTTTAGCTCTGAATTATTTTTTAAATTTGATTATAAGCATTTAAATATCTAAAGTTAAGCTTCTTATAATTTTAATTTTTTGTTCTGATTTTGAAATACAGAACTTCAATTGTTCTGGTTTCATTACTAGAGCACTGGGTATTCCCTTTTTATCATCTGTTATGCATATATTACTGGTGTGAATTTGTGTATGAAGTTACAGAATATAAAAAAGTTTGTAAATAAAGAAATAATTTTGTAAACTTTAACATAATTAGTAATATTTTATAAAACATGCTTTCTAGGAAGACATAAGACGTCGAAAAATAGCGGAGGAAAAGCTCGCAAAAGAAAATGAATTCCTTCGAAATTCTTTGCGAGGTTCAAAAAAGCTTCAAGCTCTTGAAGCAAATCCACCTCAACCACCAAAACAAGGTGTGGTTAACACTGCCTTTGAACTAGAAGATGATGATTCAGGATCAGTATCCCTGTCCCAGAGGTCTTCTGGCTGCTTGGTTGGCAAAGTAGATGAATTGACAGCAACAACACCTGAGCTTGTCAAAACATTTGGTAAGCTTGCCCATGACCCATTTTCAAAATTTTTGGAATATGTGTTTAAAATATGATGAGACTGGTATATCAAACTCATGATATTTACCAAACAATTAAAAATGTGTAATAGCATTATTACAATATAACTAGAGAGAAAAGTATGAAATATTAATCTTGAAGTTTTTTTATATCCATTCCTTTTAGGTGAGATATTCATAATTTATAACTGTATTCTTAACATTATTAATGTAATAATAAGCAATATATTTGAAGAAGAGAATCATCTAAGTTCAAAACAAGGTTTCTGAGTATTTTGCTGATGGTTTCAAATACGTGGGATCAAAATTGAGATTGGGGGTGGGGGTACGTTAAATATAATGGTCAGTATTTTATTTAAATGTGTTTTAATTATTCTTCAGTGACTAGCACAAATCAGTATGATAGCAGTTAAGTTGTTCATGCATCAGTTACTATTTTAAACTGATCCTAATATTTTACCCCAAGAAATAAACAAAATAAATAATAGGAATGTGCAAAATAATGTTTGCGTAGTGTTAGTGAAATTCTTGATTATTTTGAAGGTTTATGACTTGCTTTTTATTTATTTAATACTGTTGACAGTGACATTAGGTATAAAATCTTACCTCAAAAAGAGAAAACTGAAAGTTTAAAGTCAGAAAGAGAAGGCATTGTAAAATGGACAAAAAGTGAATTTAAATCTACAGTTATGAAGAGCATTTACCTGCATTATTGAACTGGGTCTCTTGTTTTTAGACATGTATTTTTGATTAGAGGAATATCTAAAGGAAATATGGTACTTTTCCATTTTGCCGGCGCAAGAGATAAAGTCGTCAAAAAGGGTACAATTGATGTCAAATGGAATTTCCTCATTGGTAAGCTTTTTACACCTCGTTTTCAAAACAAGTCACAGTCATTTCTTATCAGATTGATTCTTTCAATACTGGCATACAATTACACAGAATTTTTACCAGATAGTTCAATTTTATGCCCGAAGGTCATTCGCAGTAATTAGGATGCAATCATACTGCTCACCCTAAGGCAAAAATATAAAAAAGGCAAAGTCAAAGGTTAAATTCAACAATTCTAATGAGAATGCACTATTCAAGTAAAGCACTGCGGTTTTGCATAATTTCTGAGTAAGCTATTTGTACGAATTGAAATAATTCTTGATTTAAACTTGTATTCCAAATTAAGATTTAACTTGAAATTAATGTAGATAATTACTGAGAGAATTAGATTTTTGTAGCATAGTTTATGTGAGATGAGATCACTCAGGGTCACATGATATGAAACGGCAAATCAGTATGTTGTACCTTGAAAGCATAGTAAATTCTTAAATTAATGTCTTTTACAAATTTATTGTCTTTATTTATCGTCTTTCTACAAAATTATAAACCGTATTAAAATGATTTACATAAGGCCTTCAAAATAAAAAATTCTTAGAACTAACATTTGTTAACATTTTTATGTATATACTGTATGTTGTCGTCAATAAAGTCTGCTTGGCGAGATTTGCGCCGGCAAAACAGAAAAGTACCGGAAATATTTTAGGTCTACCTTTTGTCGACTGATTTTTAAAAGGGGAAAAATTTATTATTGTACCTTTAAGCAAGGTATAGCAAGTTGGCACAAGCAAGAAGGTAGCATATTTAACTTATTGAAGATTCTAGTTCTAGGCTATATGCAAGTAATTTACAAGATAATGTTCTCATTGAAAAAGAAGGGAAAAAATATGAAACAAAAACAGATGATACATAAAGTGCTGAAGTTCATGTTTATTACTTGGATTTTAAAGTTCACGGTGAGTTTTTTCTTTTTGATGCAAGGTAAAATTCCTATATAAGGAAAATAATTTTGTTGTCTCTCCTGGCTGCAGCTCGCCATTCCAAGCAGGTTAATTTCAAGTTAGATAGTGGAAAATCCAACTGCTGGATATCTCCACAGAGAGATTAGTTCCTGTCCATTACTTGGACATTAAAGTTCTCAGGGAGTTTTTGCTTCTTGATGTATGGTGAAATTTCTGTGCAATGCAAAAAGTTTTGTTGCATTTCCTGGCTGCAGCTGGCTGTTCCAAGCGGGTTACTTTCAAGTTAGGTAGTGGAAAATCCAGCTACTGGATCTCTCCACAGAGACATAAGAATGCTCTTAGCAGAGCAAACAAAAATCGCTCTTAACAGAGTTGGAAAATAAGAAAGAAGATTTGTTTCTTTACACTAGAAACTAAATCTCTAAAAAATGTCTTGCTGTGGAACTTTGTTCATTGTTTTTGTTCAAGATTTCCTGGCCGTGTCAGTACGACTTTCTAAAATTTCATTTGCTCAAAATTTTCAGAGCGCTTCTCAATTGGCAAGAGCACCCTGATTGGTTGCACGTATAGTGCTGAGAGATGTGGGAAAATTTACATGAGAATTCTTCAGCCAGTTGGCACTGAAGCTGGAGGGCGGGTGACAGGCAGTCGATGCATAACAAAACAACTATAAACAGATGCATGGGAATTTGGATGAAGGATTCCCACGTTCTAGTTTTTCTCAGGAACGAAGCAATATTTTTCTTCGGACCACAATGAAATGGTGAGAGACAATACGTGGTTACAGGTCACATTCAACTTTGCCAAGAATTGCTAATTGTTTTTTTAAAAATAACTTTTCCAAGAATTTTGGGATGATCAAAAGAAAGTAGATATTACAAAGGTTAATGCCTGCCAATGAAAATAAGCTTAAAGTAAAGAATAGTGATCAGTTATTCAAACCTAATTTATCAGTTTTAGCTTTAAAAGCCAGTACTATTCATTATTGAGCTTTTTCATAGTAATGTTTTATGCTGTTTAGTAAACTTTTTAAAGTTAAGATTAAGTTCTTAACAGTTATACCTTGAAATCTAATCTGCACCTTTCCTAATTTTAATATAATTGATTTTAATTTGACTTATGTCTGTGTATTGGATTTCGTTAATCTGAAAGTGCAAGAAAATGGTATTGAAATTTCATTGAAATGATTTGATTTAATTATCTCTAAAATGCACTTAAGCCTAGTTCGCTGTGGTTTAAACTTAAAAAAGAGGATAAAAAAGGAATTGAACCCAATAGTGAGTAATATAAGAACAAAAAAATTAAATGAATATTTAATATATTGTACATTATTTATTTGTAAAAATGGTAAGGATTAATTACTATAATTTTAATTTTTGTTTAAAGTAATATACTTTTTGTCTTTCTGCTTTATTTTAGTTTTACTGCTTACCTGATTATATCATACTGTGGTGCCTAGAAAACATAAGATTTATTTTAATAGTTTCATCAAAGAAGTGCATAAGTGAAAGATTTATCCTTCTCGTTTTGCTTTTATTGAATTTTTTGTGTGGTTTATACTTCCAGCATTTTCTTATGAATATTATTATAACTTATGTGTTTCTTAATTGTACACATATCATCAAGTCATGAAATATTATATTTTGACTGAAAATATTTGCAGGTACTCAAATATATATATATTTTTTTATTAAGGTGCATCAGAACTACTTCAGAGCTTGTACAGATTAAGTTCGAGCCTCCAGGGCAATGGCCATAAGGATTCTGACTTGATGCTTATTGAAAGTTTGATTCGCAATGCCGACTTTCAAAATATTCTTGCCATACACAATAAAGTTCAAGAAGTGTGTTGTTTTAAATGTCCACCTACACCAGTATCTACAGAAGCGCAGGATATTACGCAAGAGGTAAGATTAAAGTGTTTTACACCTATTCTTAATGAACTTTCAGTTGTATTTTGAGAACAGGATTGATTGCATCTGAAAACATAAAGTAGAGAGCCTCTATATGTATTTCAGTCTTCAGTTTATCTGTAGACTATTCAGAGAGCATGATGTGAAACTTTAAAATAAAATAAATAGCGTTATCAATTTTTGTAAAGGACTCCTACTTTTTTAAATAAAAGTGAGTGCCAATTTTTGCAAATATACCTAATGTATAAAAAAAAATTGATTTTTTACAGTACTTTTTTAATGTAAAAATGTCAAAACATGAATATTTCCTTCATTTAAACATTTTTATAATTTTAAATATACATCTATCTGCTGGCGCAGGCATTAAAGTCGCCAATAATGATACAACTGATGACAAACGTAATAGCCTCACTGCAGGGTTCGTACGGTCCTTAAGAGTCCTTAAAATTCCTTAATTTTGGCCAAAATCAGTAGAAGGTCCTTAATTTTAATCATCTGAAAATTTCTCTCTGTTTTTACGACTGCCATTTTGAGTGTGAATTATCATTTTGGAGGAATATTTTTGGCAATTCACTGACATATATATGGTTATCTTTTGAATGTGTTCATGGTTATATTTGTTTCTATTTCTAATTTAAATGATGGGATACTCGAGTTTCTAAGCAAGAAGTGAAACATAAGCATTTGGAAATTAATTTTTTCTAATAAAGAGCTCATAAACAACTTTTCGCTTTTGAGGTTGTGAATTCTTTTATTAAATGGTTCTAAATTTGACAACTTGTTAACAGTTTGGCGATTTTAAGATCAGTTTCTATATAAAATTTTTAATTCCGATATCTGACAATTTTTTCGGCGATTTTTTTAAAACATCGTAACATTGATAAATTTCAATAAAATAATGGTAATATATTAGAACTATCTTAATAACATTAAAACAAAGCATTTTTATTTTTCGCTGTCATGTTATAAAGTTTCATTTTGGCAACTTATTATACAATATTTTAAATCTGAAAAATAAACAAGGTATATAGCTATAAAGCATAATTTACAAAACAGCTCTTAGTAAAAGCAAAATTAGCTATGTAATTAATTAAAATGTCTTCTTTTTAATTTTTTCATAATAAGCGTTTTTATTAATAAAGAAATTGGAAACTTAAAATTTAAAAGATTCATCTAATGTGTCTAAATGCATTGTACACAGAGCTGGTGCTATGCATTTTCTCACCTGATGCAATCTCTGTGTATCCTAAATTCTGCTGCCTAGTGCCTATCTAAATTCTGCTTCCAATGCCTGCTTTAAATTCTAAAAGTTTGCCATTTCTAGATTTTGTTGTTCTGTGTGTCACTAAATTCTAAAAATTCTGACACACCTGCGCTGTAACCGGCTTTTACCATATATATTTCATATTTCTTCTGAATGTTCGTATTACTAAAGAAATAAAATTAGCTACTTTTTCTATACATTCTATTCTAAATGCATTTAGTGTTTTTTAAAATAACAGAAATCCGTGATTAAATCCCAAAATTTTAAAATGAAAAGAAAACCTGTTGAAGAAAGAATAAAGAAAATTATTCTTCAAAGCTATGTGCAGTTATTATTATGTAAATTACCCAATTGTTTATGATTTTAGCCTTTACTATAATTTTCCATTTCTGTTTCCTCCTATGATAGAGTTACTGAGCCAGATTAAATTAAAATTAAATTGTATTATCTTTGACCACTAGTCCACATTTTTAGTTTGAATTTGACTGTTCTTGTTTAATTACGTCACCGTGAGCTATAATTGACTTTGTTAGCATCAGAACATGCCTTTATGTTTTAAGTTCTTTGTCTGATATTGTAGTTACTTTCAGATACAGTGATAATTTGCTTCACGTCTATTGGGGGCAGACTATTCAACTTTAACCAGATCAAGTAAACCCTCATAGGTACATTGTGAAGAGGTTGACAAGTTAGGAGAAAAGCACATAGAAACTAGAGAGAACATTGGTTTGCATAGAGACAAATTTCTAATCATTGTCAGGAAAGATCGATAATTAAAGAGAATAAAACTGATATAAACTAGACAAAATGTTTGGGAAGGCTTGTAGAGACATTAGGTATTTTTTAAAACAGGAACGATAAAAAAATTAACAACGCCTTCGCCGGGAATCAAACCGCGGACCAGTGTGCAAACCACTACACCACAAAAGGTCGCCAAGAAGGTGGGAGAAATACCTTATATACTCCCCCTTTTAAACGGCGACTGGGGTTTTTAGAGAATCTAATCGCCAAATCCTTTGTGTGGAGAACCCATCAAGTAACCATCACCCATCAAATAACCATCAAGTAAAACTTATTCTTTGCATCTATTGAGACTTATATATAAAACAACTTATCACCTCTGGCGCTTTAATGGCTTATTGGAACCTTAAAGTATATTAACTGGGCTACAACCCCTGGAACTCTACACAAAGCTATGACATTAACTGCATTAAGCAGAGCTTGACTAACTTTCAACACTTGCCAACTGTGCCTACATCAGGCCTTTCAGGTTTGTTCCAATCAATAGGTCTCTCTACAGACAAGCAGCAGAGGGACAACATTCAGTCTTTTGTTATGAATCATGCTGATTATGAGTTCACTTCTCATTTTAACCTATGCCGTTTGACATAAAATCTCCCTACTATTTGCTAAACCTCTAGACTGACCAAGTATGTGACAAAATGAGACATTAAAAAAAAAAAAAAAAAAAAAAAAAGCATAAAGCTAACTATTAGTAAAACGTAAGTGTCACTTATCTTCTTTTAAATATGTCCAACTATTATAAGTGTTAAATATTTAATGCTGCTTGATAAACTGCATGAAATTTATTTTATTCTCAAACTTATTAATAATTATGTTAGTTAATTCATGTTTAGTAATAATGCATACTACTTAGGGATCTATTTTATTTTTAGGATGGTATTACAAAAGTGAAAATCGGGCATAGAATAATATTTTAAATTGAATTTATTCAGTTTCCATTTGTTCATAGGTCCTTAATTTTTTTCATTAATGGTCCTTAAAAGTACTTAATTTTCGTGTGCAGAAATGTGTACGAACCCTGTCACTGGTAACCTTTTACGCCTCATTTTCAAAACAATTTGCAGCCATTTCTTATCAGATTGATTGTTTCTTTCAATACTAGCATACAGTTATATAGAATTTTTACCAGATAGTTTAATTTTATGCTCTGTGGCCATTCTCTATAATTAAGTCAATTAGGATGCAATCACACAGCTCACCAGAAGGCAAAATATAGAAAAGTCAAAGTCAAGGGTTAAATTCATCCATTCTAATGAGAATGCACTACGGAGTAAAGCACTGCGGGTTTACATAATTTCTGAGTAAGCTATTCGTACGAACTGAAATAATTCTTGCATTTAAACTTGTATTCCAAATTAAGATTTCACTTGAAATTAACGTAGAGAATTAGATTTACTGAGAGAATTAGATTTTTGTAGCGTCGTTTACATGAGATGAGATCACTTGGGGTCACATGATACAGGGTTCGTAGCGGTCCTTACAAGTGCTTATAGGTGCTTACTTTTTCTTTAAAGCCCTTATTTTTTGTTTCTAGTGCTTATTTTTTGCTTTTAGTGCTTTTTTAATAAATGTGCATCCCCCCCCGTACCAAAGTCCAAACTAAATAAACAACTTTTCTTCCTCATATGGAACGTCAAAAATAGCTTTTCCTCCTTTATCTGCATTAACGTAACCCTATTGTACGCACGAGAGTACAGACAAGTGCACGTCGTTCTATTGCTCAAAGAATTGCGAAAACCGTAGAAAGTTCCGGTACATTCGGTATTCTTTTTCTCCCACCCAAATACTACGCACGTTTGAATTTCTATCAAGATTTTAATAATTTGCATTCTCGTTCCGCATGGTCAGTTCATATTCGTGTTTATTATGATCGTTATGCTTATATTATGAGCATATGTATGAATATTTATAATATAGTTGCAGTAGCTGCTGAAGTAAGTGTACATAAACTTCCAAAAATGGGTGTATTTTTACACATATTAGCTTTCTGAGGAATAATATTTGGAATGGCTTAAATAAAAGGAAAGTAATCGAATAGTCTGAATAATTTCTTTTCTTTTTCTGTCCATGGTGCAGTCCTTTTATGTTTCTGCTGTTACTTCTTTATGTAGTGTTTTAAAATATATATATTTTTAATTTTTAGGTAATGAATACCCTTCAGGAAAGTTCCTTACCAGAAGCTGCTGAACTAGTCGATATTTTAAGCAAATTTGAAATGGAAGGTTTGTTTTATGCCCATGACAAAATATCTGAACGCCAAGCTGTGCCAACAATAACTCCGGATGAAGAGCTTTTGGATCGAGCCTCTCAGTATACTGAGGAGAGTGTAAAAATTGTTAGAATTGACAAAACAAATGAACCTCTTGTAAGAATTTTAAGTGTTCTTTATATATATTATCTATATGTATGTAAGATAAAAAATATGAAAAAATATAAATTATTAATTTTAGTTTTGTAATACCGCTTTTATTCCTCGTTTTATTTTGAGTATTTCCACTCTTTATTCTAAAAATAGTAATAACTTTTTCAGGATTGTATCATTTCTACATTAATCCATTATATGACTTCCTCATAATGATAATGATGTAGCAAATTTGAACCAAAACCTTTCTCTTAATAAGCTTCCATATTGGGTAACTGTGCTTTTTCTTTCTTCACCTTGGCCTAAGTAGATTGTGGCTAATTAATTTCTTCTCAAACAGGCACAGTTAGCGTCTAATTATTTGTGGCGGCAAATGTCAGGTGAAATAAAATTGAATATATAATCTCTGCCTCAGCTGCCAAGTGTTATGATCAACATCTCATCTTTATTATGATCAACATCTCAACATTTATGTGATCAGCTTTCCTACATCATTACATCTAAGTCTGCTTCATTACATATTTCCATTCAAACTGTGCTAATTGGTTGCAGTTTATTTTGTTACATTATACACGGTATTCAGAAAAGCTAGCTTATTTGTTTTTAATAATAGTCTTGTTTTTTACTTTATTTTGAGAACTTTGTAATTATGTGGCTAGGGTTAGTAGCTAAGGAGATAAAGCATGTAACCCTCCTGTGCATTTTATATATATATAAACAATGGCACCAAAATGTAGCATAGAACATTCTAATCTATTTTTATTGATTGCTAATGATAATAATTTAATTTATTAGTTCTTACAGTATTTAGTTTATGTAAATATCGCATCCTGTAATTTACTTCATTTAAGCAAATTTGAATAATAACTGTTCATAATAAAAGAACAGATAAAAGTATGAGAAGTAGGTTTTCTGTGGAATACCATTGTTTGTAAGCAAAGTATGAAATATCTGTTTTACTTTAATACTAGCAGCTGCACTGCCAGCCTTCATCTGGCTTTTAAATGTACAAGAAAAATGGATGAAGGGAACACCAAACGTTAAATTTAAAAACTGCATAGAATTTTACTCTGCAGAACAACTTCATAAAAAAAAAGTTATTATGTATAACAAAATTACAATGAAATAAGCAATATCCCTTAATAAAAATATTAATCATCCTAATAAATAAATTAATCAACTTCTCTTTGCAAAATCTTAAGAATTCAAATGGTATAAAGGAGGTTAAAAACTTTGTTTCCCAAAAAAATCACTCAAAACTTTTCAATATCTTAAACACAATGAAATGAGCCATAAATAACATAAAAGAATACAAAAAACAAAAAATTCTGAAAAGCAAAGTAAAATTAATGATATTTTATCTTATATTTTCAAGAGAAAAAAATTACAGTGAAATAAGCTATATCGCTTAATACAAATATTAATTACCCAAATAAAAAAATTAACCAACTTTTCGTTGAAGAAAAAAAAAAATCATGCGAAACTTTTCAATATCTTACAAACAGTGAAATAAGCAAAAAATAACATGAAAGCAACTCAAAAAATATAAAATTCAGCCAGAATTTTTACAGAACAACATTATAAACAAAAAAAAAAAAAAAAAAAAAAAAAAAAAAAAAAAAAAAAAAATCAATAAAATGTATTATATATATATATATATATATATATATATATAAATGACAGTAAAAATATGCCAATCTCTTAAAAACAGTGACATAAGAAATATGACGAAAAATGGTTGCCAAACCCATATTTCTAAAAGAATGAAACTATACAAAAGGATGCGATTTCATCAAAAATCTATCAACAACAATAAGAAAGGAAAATTGTTGCCAAAATTACATTTTTAAAGATGTGAGAAGTGTACTCGGAAGCTTCATTTAAATTTTTTTTAAAAAATACAAAACATTATCATTTTTCCAAAATTCTTTTTGTAAAAGCAGTCACAAGGATGAAAGTTTAACGTGTCCAAAAATTAAGGAAAAATAAACTGTACATTTTTAAAAATAAACTTTTTTAGAAAATATCCCGTTGAAAAGGTGTTAAGCTCCCTTTGTGAAATAAATTCGGATTTAATCGATTTATTGAAACACGAAATTTATTTAAATTTTGTAAAATAGCTAAGTGCCTAAGTTTTATGACAATGTGAAAAGAGTGTGTAGAGTAAAATCTGACTTTCCTATAGCCCTTTATGTCTCAAAATGATGCAATTTCATCACAAAACATAAAATTTAAAAAATTCGAATTCGAATTTCGAAAAAAATCGCTTTGAGGTGCACTGGCTCTTGTCTAGATGCACGTATGTACCAAATTTCGTAGCCGTGGGTCTATTAGATTACGCACAGCGCTAACGAAAGACACACACACATACACACAGACAGACTCTTTCTTTTATTATATGTAGAGATTTTGTGTCCTTTGCCTAAGTGTTATATTGTATTGACATATACTGTTATAGCAGGATAGGAAATACAAAGGCTTTTATTCAAAAGATGCATGTGGAAATGTAAGATACGGGATTTTTACACAGAAGGACCACTATTTGTCACTATAAGGGCTGAACTATTGTTATAAGTTAGACCGGACTGATATTTTTTATTTTTCATATGAATGCCTTTGCATGACAGCATTTCAACAGTTTTTGGGGATTTTTGTTTCCAGATTCAATTTAGATTGAATTTTACTTTTGACAACATTCTCAATTTTGAGGTGAAGAGTTAACAAACTATTAACATCTTATTCTTCTGTTTCTTTACTGTCATGTCCCCAAGTGGCATGGACATTTCAAGACAATTTATGTATGAATGCACACCACTGGGTTTCTTGAAGCAGATAGTAGAACTGGAATCGTTTTCAATAGATATGCATTCATTATCACTTTTGTTTCTTCCATTAAACATTGTTGCTGAGATGAATTTATATTGCGCTGATTTGCCGTTTGCATTCCACTGAATAGGAAGGAAATTTTGTACTTTAATGTCCCTCTGCAGAATGCCTAATTTCACAGTAACTTATTGTTGGTGCATGCAGGTTCGAATGCCAAATCTATCACCAAATTTAGCAACAAAAAATTTAAGATGCCAAAACCATTGCCAGCTTGGCAATATATTGCCAGTTTAACGAGATAGCCATAAACCTCTATGTTACATGGACCTGCCCTTGTAATTTTATTTTTCTAGTGGAGATTCGCATTTTTCAAGTTTTTCTTGTTACATAATGCTAAGGATGCTACAAGTTCACTGAAATTATTTACATATATACAAAATTCAGAACATTGCTCCCTTCTCAAGCACTGCATGTCACAGACAGTATAAGGTAAAAAGCCTTATTTAGAACTACGGCAAATCAATACACTGCTAAAACAGTAATTTCTATAAATAACATACAACAAATACTCAATTGGTAATTAAATGCATGTATATGCACATAGGACCATGGTCTTAGTATACTATTTGCAGTATATAGATGATAGAAATTACCTACTATGGCTATAATAAGGGGCTAGCTTTATTGTAGTAAATGACTTTAGACTTAGAATTTGATGACTTACAGATCTGAACTATGAAGTTTGTATATATGGAGTGATCATTCAGAGATATATCAATGAACCAGTAGTGCACAACAGTATTATTCCAGATGAGTAATTAATTACAACTGATTATGATCAAATGTAACTATTTTATTTCTGTATTTATAATTTAACCATAAATTGACCGTAAAATTCCTATTTTGTTATTAGGGTAACTGTAATATCAGGGTAATGTACAATAAAAGAGGTTTTATAACAGAATTTTCTTTTAGGGTGCTACTGTCAGAAATGAAGGTGAAGCTGTTGTCATTGGAAGAATTGTGAAAGGAGGTGCTGCTGAAAAGAGTGGTAATTATCAATTCAAGTTGATTTTTTTTTCCCATGACCATTTTGTGCACATTTCTGTGCAGGAGTTTCTGTTTAATTCCGAGCTATCTCGTAGTTGAAGGGAGGTGCAAAAATATTATTTCTTATGTCAACTACAAGTATACTTGTGTGAATTTATTTACTACTAAAAGTAATCTGTTATATCTGTATTTACATAATAAAACAAGAGAAAATATTTTAAAAACATAAAAATACAGATGAGATCTTTGCATATATGAAGAAATACACCATATCAGCTTTGGCAGCAAATATGTTAACACATGAAAATTGACATAAACATGACAGTTGTATATTTGCAATCTGAAATGTAATGGGAAACATTTACATGTATTAATATTGTAATTTTTTTTTTAACTTGAGTCCTATGGATTAGCATCAGTCTTATTTTAACAAATCATGATTTTTAGGTACTCTTCCCCCCTATATAGTAAAAATGATTAAATTACCTTTCAGATATATTAAAACACTTCATTTATTTAAATAATTAATGTTCTCATTTTTGTTTTTTTCTGAAAGCACCTGCATCTAAGACAACAAGAATTTATACATCTGTCATTTCTGTACAGATCTTATTTTCAAAGCTATTGAAATTTTTAATTATTTTATGGTAATTTTAATTTAAAAGAATATTGGTTTTGTTCCCCCTCTCTAATTCCTCCCATTTTACAGCAAAAATTTCTATGAACTTTAGTAAATTCAAAATGTGTTTCAAAATTAATGTTTTCTTTAATATATAATTTTTTTTTTATTTCTAGAAATATTTTTCAATCCTTATTTTTTAGTAAAAGTTCAAATGCTATAACATACTTAATATTAATGATTTACATAATGAGCTTTAATAATGGGTTTTACTTCTTTTTCCTACTCTCTAGCCATGATTCCCGCCCCCTTCCCCCCCAAAAAAAATTAGAACATACTGCATAGTTATACTATTAATAATGTTATTTTTGTATATATTAGAATAACTAGATGTATAGTTTTTATATTTTTCTTATACTGTAAATTTATTTAACTCTAATTTAAAAAAAACCTCACTCCATTTTTCTTAGTAGTAAATATGTAAATTTCAGAAATACTTGTGGCTTTTAAAAATAGTTTTTAATGTTAAAAACCGGTCTGCATGATCTTGTGCTTAATGTTATTCTACAAATATGTTGATAATGTAGAATCATATGAAAATCTTAGTTATTTTTTACAGGTTTACTTCACGAGGGAGATGAAATATTAGAAGTGAATGGCGTGGAAATGCGTGGAAAATCTGTTAACGATGTGTGTGATATCTTGGTTAGTAAATTTTCAATTCTTCATTTTCTTATGCTTTGTGGTGTGAGACCATAAACCTCGCAAATTCTAACAGTGTATTGTATTACATTACTCGCAGCATTTTAAAACTGAACTAGGAAACATTACTTAAGTATCTATTAAATATTTCTGGAGCTCTATGGAGCATTGCCCAGTAGTATAATCACCTGCACTGCCCTTCTAACTATTGCATCAAGTTGAGGTTCCTAGATTATTCCATTTATTGGTGATGGTTTAATATATTTTTTGGTGTTTTGCAGTTTTATTGTATTTCAGAATTGATGATTGAAGAGCTCGAGTCTTTAAATTTTCTGAAGGTGTGAGGAAAATGCTGTATAGAAAACTTGCAGAATTGCAACAATTAAAAAATTTAATCATCCAGAATTTGCCACATATCGTTTCAAGCTTGATATTTATTCTGGATAGTGCAATGCTTCCTCATCATGACATTGCATCAGTTCCTAGTAGCAATTTTTGGATGAAAGAGGTGTTTTGAAAGTAATGTAAGAGAATGAAAATTTATGTTTTGAACATTTAACTGTGCATTCAAAACTTATAAAACTGTTTTTTTTTTTTTTTTTTTTTTTGTGCCATTTATTCTGAAGCTGCCAAACAGTATCTTGCAATAACTTTTACTTTTACATCTCAACTTGCTACCGAAGGGACATTTAGAATGAACCATTTTATAAACATTTTAAGAAACTGGTTTGGATGAAAAATGGTCACACTACTGTAAAGTAAGCCAAAAGCTCTGCAAAAGTGCTAAGAGATGTAATATAAGGTAGAAAATACCATATATTTCCACGTATCAGCCGAGAAGTTTTATTACTTATTCTAAACTTAAATTATGGGGGTTGGCTTGTATATGAACTTGTCTAGTCTCAAATATACAGATATTTTTCCATTAGCCAGACACAAGTAATAAATCACTAAATATTGCAACTCCTTTATTTCTTTAGTTTATGAAGAAAATTAATTATAACTTAAATGAGGTAATTGTTTAATGAAAATTAGTTATTTTATTTTTGAAATTGTTTGTGGTGCTGTTTTCTTGCATCATCACCAAAATGAGATCTGTTGGTGAGATTTTTGTCCAGTGTTTTCCACTTCCAGAAAATGAAGAAATGCTGAGCAGCCATACTGTTGTTGAAATTTTTAGCAAACATGGTCATCTGTAGTTTGAAATTTGCTGTATAAGAATTTTTCTTCCCACTTATTTTTCAGACAAAATTAAAATGACACATAAAATAAGACCAGCTCAGATACCACAAATCAAATACAACATAACAAAAGAATAGAATAAATGTAATAACTTCAGAAAGAGATACCAGAGTTAAAACCATCATCGTTGGCATCTAGTGTTTTACTTTACAATGATTTGAATGGAAAATATTTTACTTGATTTACCTACATGGCAATGATTTCATCCTCATGGTGACATGTTTGAAAGTTGCAAGTGTCCCCCCCCCAACTTTGTCTTGTATACGGGTTTTGAATTTTAGATAAATTTTAAAGGGGGGAAACACTTTCAGCTTCACAGATTGGTTTATAATCTGAAATATACAGTATGTAAAAGATTAAACAGTAAATAAGCTGTTTTCTTCATAATGTGACATTTTATTAGCTAGAATTCTAAACACTCTGCAGATGCACTATGTATTCCTTGAACTATTGGATATCATTTTAATAAAATTATTCTTTTTTATTTTGTATATTTCTTCAAATAGACTGCTTCTTTGCAGGCTTATGTTATGTATGTACATGCATATTAGATTTAATGTAAATGGAATATGTAATTTATTATTGTTTAAATTAAGTTTGTTATACAAGCTAGGAAGACCTAAATATATTAAAAATTAATATATTCTTTTCTGATTTCATTATTTCCCTTTTTCAGGCTACTATGAATGGAACTCTTACCTTTTTAATTATACCCACTCAGCAAGAATCTAAACGAAGTTCTCAAAGGGAAGTTGTTGTACGTAAAATTTTACATCTCTTTCAAAATATTTCTTAGAAATTTTTGTTTATTTGTGATTCAATATTATTGAACTATGTAAAAATTTTAATTCATTGTTAAAAAGTTCCTTTTGTTTTATGATATGTTAAAAGTAACCTTAAAAAAAGGCAATGTGAATGAAAATAATATGTAATTTCAGCTGTCTCTTATATATCTGCAGATACATCAATTTCTAGATCAATTTCTTCTACAAATTAATGCCATTTTGTAATTGTTTACTTTCTGCTTATTTTATCAGTTTACCCCATAACATTATAGTGTGATCGTAAGTCTTTAACAGTTCTTTTTTCTCTTCCCCCCTCCCATATTCTCCAAGTCTTCAAAAAAGAATTTTGTCCTTGCATTCCCCTCCCTCACTGAAAAAAGGTGTTTGAATGATGGGGTAGTTATTGCAAATAATTTTAAAATAGTCTTTTGAAATAACTTTTTAGTGACTTAAATACTTTAATATGAATTCTTCTTAAATGAGTGCAGTCACTGAAATGGATATTTATTACAGTGAGATGCAAAGTATCTTTCTTAATTATTTTTACAGTTGAATAATATATTAAGCAAGAATATTTCTTTTTCCATAATAAATAAATAAATATTCTATTCTTCATGAAAACGGAATTCATTTTGGAATTTATTTTATTAAATTGTAAGAATTATTTGTGCAAACTTATTTTATGAAAACAAAATAAATGGCCAAAAAAGCCCAGAACCATAAATAACTATCATTGAGAATTATCTTTACGGATTAATTAATTCAAAGACAATTTCTGTAGTTCAAAATTCTTCCTTATTCCATATAATAAGAATAATAATGAAAAATAAAAGTTTAAAAAAAAAAAATCTGAAAGGTTTCAGATTTTAAATTACACCCAAAGAGGCGTTTTTTATTGTTTTGTCTGTTACCTTTATTTATTTATTATCATGCTCTTTGCTCTTTGCATTTAAACCATAAAATTCAGTACAACAGCAATGTCGCAGAATAATTTTAAAATGAGCATATCTTTAGAATTTCCCGTACACAGTTCTACATGCTGGAGATAAGTTTTTTTTTTTTTTTTCCTTCCATAGAGTATTGCCATTGCTCGCTTTTAAATCGTTGAGTTTGTTATTAAAAAATTCGTTAAAGTTTTAAAAAATATGAAACCGATAATAAAACAAATTCCAGTTTCAAATTGCCCATATTTGCTGTAGAATTTGATCATTCAAAATTTGATGGCTCTAGGTACTGTTGTTTTACCAGAATGCAAGAAACTTACATACATTTATGCAGATTCTTCATTATTTAATTTCTTCAAATATAATACAGGTCGATAGTATTTAGTGGGAACAGTTTGAAAAGTGAAACGGACATTCAGAGTGATTCAACACAAAATCACAAAACTAAAATGATAGTCCTTCAGGAACAAAGCCCCTTTGGACTAAAAATAAGTCTAGTTTGTAATGTGACTGTATAAGAGCTGTTTATGCTTAATATCATTAAATTTTTTGCTAGCTGGAAAGAACAGTTCGAAAATTAACATTCTGCTAGTTACAAATATCTTTTGCGTTTAGATTAAAGCATGGATATCAACATTCTATTAAATTTGTTTTTTGAAAATAAAAAAATGCATTGAAATTATATAAACTGTGCCCTGCATATTTATTTATACTAAAAATTAGTATAAAAATTATTATTAATAAAAAGCTTTGCTTGTTATTGTGTAATGATGTTTGGAATAGTTAAATTCAAATTTGGCAAAAGGGGGGGGGAAGCATGAAGTTGCTGTTTGGGTGTATAGAAGGATGTAAATGTGTAACAGCAAGTGGATTTATAAATTTTATACAAATAATTTCATTGTAATATAAACATGTGCATTATAATTTCATTGTAATATAAACATGTGCTCACATATATACAAGTAAGGAGTTATATTTTACATTAATAAACTGTTGCGATACAGAGCAATGAAGAACAAGTATAATCTATAAAACATAATTCTTGACTGTGAGTCATTAAAATTTTCTTTTATTAGTTATGCTTTTATTTTTTATAATTTTATTAGTTATATCTGCTGTGCAGTTATAAAACTGACATCTAATAAACTTTATCCTGGATTTCTTATAGATGCATGTAAAAGCCCATTTTGATTATGATCCTGATGATGATTTGTACATTCCATGTCGTGAACTGGGAATTTCATTCCAAAAAGGCGATATTTTGCATATTATTAGCCAAGATGATCCAAATTGGTGGCAGGCATATCGGGAAGGTGAAGAAGATCAGGCTTTAGCAGGTCTGGTGCCAAGTAAAAATTTCCAGCAGCAGTAAGTATCATGTTTTGATTTTCTTTATGTTTTAAGGTATTTACATATATCTTCATTCTTTCAATTAACTTCTGTTAAATGCTGCTAAATAAAGATAGAGTATAATTTTGAATAATAATCACCTACAAAGTTCCCCCTTTCTTATTTTTATCTGTAAACAAAGAAAAATAACATTCTTATCTGTTTGTCTGCTATCAATTACACTTATTTATCTAATTTTTTGCTTATGGCTATTTAGTTTGTCTTTCCTGTCACTTATGTTTGAATTTAGAGCACATATAAAATAATCTGAACAGCAGGTCAAATGAAAAATTAAGTGGTTTATAAAATATATGCTTGCAGGTTTTTGCTTATGTATGCAATTTTTACTACAATAATATATATAATTCAAGTATATCTTAAATCTTAAGTAATCAAGCAATTCAATTTAACCGAAATCAAATCAAAGACATTTTTATAATCGTAAATCATTATTGATTAATTCAAAGAGGATTTGAGACAGTCATCTGTTGGAAAAATGAGCAAAAATTTATGCAGTATTTTAATTTTCTTTGCTGAATTTTTGTCTCCCTCCCATTCAAATAGACTAAATTAGTAGTTTTTATCTTAAATAAATTATTTTAGTAGAAAAAACATTACTGATAATAGACCAGATTTGTTCCAAAGTATTATTGGTACTTAATCACTTTTCAATTGGTACTTAATCACTTTTCATATAAATGTTTTGAATTTGTAGGCATTTATGTTACTAAAAACACAAGTCTTAATTTCTAATAGTTTCGAAAATTTTAAGAACCATATTGGTATCATGTAAGTTTTAAAATGTCAAATTAATGCATAGAGCATTTTATATTCAGTACCAGCTGATAGATAATTATATGTAGAAATAAATACATATTTCTAGCTAATGTAGTATTTTAAATATTTGTAGACTGTCATTTTATTCTAGTTTAACATCATATTCTGTAATTAAATTGTTGTTGTGATGTCTTGTGTCAAACATTTATGATTAGGAATATATTTATTTGTTATATTCGTGATTAGGAATTATGAATGAATAATATTTTGAAAATTTAACTTGAATTTAGAATGTTTTATTCTTTATGGATCAACTGTTTGAGTCCCAAGCAGTGCAAAATGTGTTGAAATTTTATGTCGAGAAAACCCAGTACATTTCAAAGATTGTGAACAAAAGCACGGTTGTGCTGTTTGGGATTCTTCAATGTTTTTTCAATACCCCCTGGGTCTCAAATGGTGTAATTATTAGATTATTAGGAGTTTTATGTTTTGAATTTCATGAATGTATATGATATGCAAGTTGAAATATATTTATTCGTTTTCTTGCAGACGTGAATCGATGAAGCAGACTATAATTGGGGAAACTAACAGCAAAGAAAAGGTTAAAAAAGGTGAGTTGTGTTAATATAACCAGATTGCAAAATTTTATTTAATGGCAGTTGTATCTATTGTGTATATATATATATGTACATATATATTTATACATTTATCAACACTAAAATTTGTTAAGTCAGTTTTCTGATTTTAATTTTTGAGTAAATTAAAATTATCAAAGTATAATTTTTAGAATTCATTTGTTAGTTTTATTTTAAAAATTATATGAAATGCATCTTAATTTATTATATTTAATAAATTGTATTACTTTCTTAGGAAAATTTCTTTGTGCTAAAAAATACCATAGAAAGAAAAAGAAGAAAATGTATAGTGCAAATCTTACTGAAGGTAAGGAAATGTCATCCAAATGTACTTTTTTAGTCAATGAATTTATTGAAAGTTGTTAAGCTTGGGTGGTTAAATCCTAAACCTGCAAAATAAAAGCTGTTTATAATCACTATTTTTGAGATTTTTGATGTTTTTTTTAATAGTTCTTTTTCAATTTTCATTAATTTTTCATTGTTACGTGATTTGAATTTGTCTGAATTACTTCAAAAGCTTAATTATTCAGAAATTCTGCTGGAAATTGAATACCTAATCAGCAAATTTTTATCAGCTGTAAAACAGCAAAGTAATTTTATTACTTTACTTGACCTTTTTTTTATGTGATTCAAGAAATAAAAAAAAAGTTGGATATAATTCAGACATAAGATTGCAAGTATTTCAAGATAATTGTTGAGATCTTTTACTTGTTTTCTAGAACTGGAAGGAGATCAAATTTTGACATATGAAGAAGTAGCTCTGTATTATCCTCGAGCTAATCGCAAACGTCCAACAGTACTAATTGGCCCTCCAAACATCGGTCGTCATGAATTACGTCAGCGTTTAATGGAAGACACGGAACGATTTGCAGCTGCTGTGCCTCGTATGTAACAACATTCTTTCATCAAAATTCTTCTTTTGAGAACTCTGTTATTGACATAGCTTGTTTGTCTTTCTATGCAAAGTAAAACTTATATCAATTTGTGTGCTTTTAATTTTTGAATGGCATGTAGTTTTTTTTAAATTTATAGCAATATTAGGCAGATATGCAAATTGTAAATTTATTACAAATTGCTAAGGGCAAGAGTTTAGTAATCTGGGTTATTTCATTATTTTGTTAGTTTATGTCAAAGACTGAAAAAATAAAAATTAATGACTAAAAATTTTTAAATATAATGGTTTAATTTTTAATTGGTGATGAGTTATGCATTTTTATACAAATAAATAATACTAGCTGGTTGTAATGAGTTTTCCGCTAAAAACATTTTTAATAAAGTTAAAAAACATAAAAGCAGTACCTTTAGTGCGGGTATCAATACCCAAATCTATGATTTTCTGCCAACGTTTTGGTAATTTTTCAAAGCCTTCGGCCTAGATGATGAAACATTACCTTTTTGTGCCAGAACTCAGTTCAACTCTTTTTTTTTTTTGTTTTTACAGCAGTGTCAACATGGACTAGCATGTCCTTGTACTTTGGGGAACTATCATCTCACTACACTTTTTACGTCTTCTTTGTGGATAATACCACGGCAGTCCCACCAGATACAATGTATGATCTTTTTGTTAGTCAAATTGCACTTTGCGACGTTGTTGACGGGCTCACCGAGCGCAGACTAACTCCATTTCCGGCATGTGTTGTTGAATTAAATCCACTTACAAGTGACGATCCAGTCCAGATTTTGTCCTTGCTTTGATGTTCAAGTAGATTAGTGCAGGTTCGAATACGTCTGTCCTTATCTGCTTGAGTCATCTCATGCGGCACCCAGCGATTAACATCAAGTTTATGCAATGCATAGCATGACTAATGGAGGCAGCATTAATATCTAACTTTTTAGCAGGCTCCCAAGTGGTTGCATACTGATTTTCTTCCATAAGTTCTCGCAGGCGGGGCTCGTAAACATCAGTAGGCCGGCCAAAGCGCTTTACTTTCATCAAAATTCTTTGTCATTCTATGTCAAAGCCCTTGTTTTTGAGCTTTTAATACCAAACCTTCAGTATCATGTGATGCAACATTAGTAACTAAAGCTGCACACATAATTTGGTGATGTTCTGTAGCTGATGGTTGCAACAGAACTAGAAATAAATGATGGTTCTAATCTGGTAGCATGATAATTCCATTTCAGACACCTTGTTCTTAATGATAATGATTTTTTTTTTTTTTTTTTCAAATTTCACACTACAGTATTGTAAAGCAAATCTCAAAACATTTTGTTTTATTAAAAATGAACATATAAGTAAACCTCTGCTGGCCTTACAGTAAATAAATCTGTGGCAAACAGAAAAGAACACCAGATGGTCTGTAGTCACAAATGCATCCTTCTTTCTCTCTCTCTTTTTTTTCCCTGTGTGTGTGTTATTAAGTTAACACGGAACGATTTGCAGAGGTACAAGTATCGAAACATAATCTTTTAATTTTTGCACATAGCTGTTAAAAACTTAACATTCTGGGTAATATTAGTATGCTTTGAAGAAAAATATTTTGACATAGACATAAAATGTGATATGTGAATCTGATGATTTAATAAATGAATCAAAACTGAGCATATAAATTACAACTCTTTGTAGGTGGATGAAAATGGACATATTTCTTAGAGCAGGCTTTTACTGATAACGTTTTTTCAGTGTAAGTGTGCTGTATCTTAACTGGGTGATTATCAAACTAATGCCTTTATTTTTGTCTTCTTCATAATTTATAGATACTAGCAGAGCAAAGCGTGATGCAGAAGTAGACGGAGCTGATTATCATTTCATCTCTCGCTCACAGTTTGAAGCTGATATTGTGGCTGGTAAATTTGTAGAGCATGGAGAATATGAGAAAAATTATTATGGAACAAGTCTTGATGCCATTAGAGCTGTTGTTAAATCTGGAAAGATTTGTGTGCTGAATCTTCATCCACAAGTATGTCTTATTTTCACTTTTTGAACATAATTTTTTTATTACTTTATAGCCATATTTATTTCGTTTGCACATTATCTCTCACTATCTTTAAGTAATGAATATTGTATAAATTCCAGTTTTCAAAGAAATGTTCATGACTATGACCATTTTTGCAGTGCTCCAAAAATATTGTACAACCTTATGAAAATGTCAGTTTCATATGCTGTTAATTTTCTAATTTCTGTTTGCTTTAACAAAGCTGGTAATAAGTGACTGAAAAGAACCAAATAAAGCAGGATAAATAAATGTTGCATTCTTGTGGTATATATGCACATGTTTATATTCATTAGTAGATGAAAATGCCTTCCTGTTATAAAATGTGCTTTTATTGTTTACGTTGCTGGATAGAATTTTCACTGACCTGAAAAATCCGAAAAAGTCGATAAACTATTTTCAAAATGGTGAGGAGAATCGGAAAACATCATTAAAAAGAAAAAGTATAAATCAATCTTGTTAAATAGTAAAACATTTAACCCTCTTGCTGCGCAATTTTTTTATCAGAATAGGTTCAAAAATTGCGTAATTTTTTTTTTTTTCCCTCCCTTCTATTTTTTTTTTTTTTTTTCATATTTCAAATCTGCATATATTTTAAAGTTAAAATGTACAAAAATTTATTGTAAAAGACTTTTTTTTAATATTAGATTAGATATAAAAAGTTTATCAGAAAGTTGAAACTGAGGAATAATCATATAAGTAAAGGAGGAATAATCATATAAAGCAAAATTTTGAAAATTAATCTTGGGTAAACTGATTTATTGTATGAAAAACGAAGATAAAATGTATATATACTCATAAAAATATGCAAAATACTTACAAAACATTTATTAGAAATGAAGTTTAGTGTGATAAACTTTGAACAAAGGCTCGAGGCAAAGTCCTACCTCGCAATCTTTGCAACAAATTTGTGTTTCTTTGGAAATTTTTTGCCAGTCTTTTCTTTTTCTTTTTTTTTTTTTTTTTTTTTTTTTTTTTTTTTTTTTGACAACAAACAGCAGAAGGGGGCTATGTAGCTATGAAAATGTTGAGCAGGTAGTCTCATGCGAATGAGATTTAAACTACAGACATCTTTGAGGGTTGGAAAGAGCGTGCAAAACATGCTTGTAATGCGCAGAAATATGGACAGCTAACGTCCTCTGTTAACGCAGATCTGAATAAACAGTTAAACATCATAGAAAAGCTGAAATGTAAGCATGAATGGGAAAAGAGCTGTTTGCACAGTTAAATAGGTAGAAAAAAATGAATCCCCGCAAAAATCGTGGGCTGCGCAAATTTTGCTACTTCTACGTTGCTCGTGGAAATTGTAGGATGTGCAGCGAGAGGGTTAAATTGGCCATCTTAAAAAGAAAGCAAACAAACAGTTAGTTTAATCTTTTTCTCTTTTTAATTACTCTTACTCAGCTCATAATTTGATAGAACTATCATCCTATAGTTAGTTCTTTTTTAACCCTTTCGAGATGGCCTTGGTTTAAGACGTTCCCTCGGGGCGAATGGGAGTCAAAATTAATAATCCAACAGAGGGGGCATTGTATGTTGTTAAGGCTAACTTAAGGAGGGGAATAAAAAAGTTTTATGTTTAATGTCTTAATTAAACTGACCTAATGTCATAGTATAATTTATATGAAAGTGTATTAAAAAATTGCTTACTTTGAGAAATAAATTTAGAAAGTTATTCTGTAGTTTTAAAACTGACAAAATACATTAATAAACTTTGGAATTAATTGTAGAAATGCAAGAAAGACTATTTACGAAAAGAAATAACAAAATGTTTCACAGGAAGTGGAAAGCAGACTTTCAGTGAGCTGACTGTGATAAAATGTCCATATCAGAATAACTGGAAATATTGCTCTCTAACTCCTTAGAAAATGAATCATCACTCGCATCAGTTTCAATAATTGGCTAATTTACCATTCAAGCATATCCTTCCTCTGATAAATAACATTTTCTCACTATAGTAAACTAAATTCTTCTGAAAAGCCTTGACTTTCTGAAATAAAAAGGTATGTACGGGACACAAAGCATAACAGAACCCCACGTAATAACCCAATAAGACCCTACGCAGTAGTGAGAAAGGATTCGAAGGGATATAAAAATGCAAATGTTTGTATTACATGGCACGTTGAAGAGCTGAGCTCTGTTTACATTATGCTTTCCCTCCTCTTAGGCCAACCAGTAAAGCCACTGCACACTGGTAGTCGGTCCAAGGTTCGAATCCCACGAATGCACTGGCTGCATGGGCATTTTCATGTTTTTCCCCATGTGTAACATATATACGAGCTAGTTTCCCTTAGAAAGTGCTCCATGTAGGCATCCCTTTCACATAACCCAAACCTTTCCCTCCTCTCCCATAACAGCTGACACCTAAGTCGGGCAGATGTTATCAAACTGAAAGTCAGGATCCTAAAACTATGTGGCTCACCAGCGGCCAAGACACTGAACACGGGTGGTTCGGTCCGAGGTTCGAATCCCATGAACAGGCTGGCTGCATGGGTGTTTTTCCCCTATGTGTAACATGTATACGAGCCAGTTTCCCTTAAAAAGTCCTCCACGAAGGCATCCCTCCCTTTAAGCAGATAGCCCTCGTGTGCTTTGCCATAATTGAATAATCCAATAGTAAAACTATGTTCAGTTCAAAAGTACATTATAATATATAACTAATATTAATTTTAACACTTTTTTTCTGCTCTAATATAATTCTATGCTCCTCGAATTTATTTCTAATCATGATAATATTTATTATGAATGATGTAAATTTACTATGAATGATGTAAATTTATTTTAAATATTTATTATGAATGACAAATTTCTTTTGCAAAATAAACAGAAAAATTAAATTTTTCTTCTGTTCTTAGTTATATCATAATTTATAATAAATTTATATTTGGTAACCAGTTCAGTAAGGGAACAGAAATTAAAAAATTGAATTTCAGCGAGAACTGTTTTAATGCACTGGTTATTTTGGATTAAACAGTTAAGAGATTCATCACTTACTGCTTCGTTTCACACTTTATTTCCTGTTATATGTATAGATGTAATTTATAAAATAAATAAATAAATAAATAAAAAATACTGAATTTAAATCTTCACATTCTGCTGACCATAATACTTAAAAAGTTCATTTCCCTTAACCTTTGAATCTGACATTGTTAAATTTTGCAAGTTTGTACCACAAATATTATATTTATATCTATTATATGTTGTTGAAATCTAGTGGAATTTTTTACCTTAAAAATATTTATTTTTATTTTAACATAAGTTATAAAAAGATTTGCAAATCTTCATAATGTACTTAAGAAGATATTTAAGTGATATTTTTAGAATTTTTTACTGATGTTTATAATTAGTGTAGTATTTTGAATTCAAAATTCTAAGCTGTCTACAACCCTTCTATGGTGGATTGTTGAAATTGTTTGAAGTAGATTCTTATTAACTGATTTAAATAGGGCATGTACAAATTTCCTGGAAGGGACATCGACCAGGTATAATAGCATTGCAAGTCACATAAACCATATCCATATGTTTTATTGTAAATAGCATAGATGCCAGCTTTATATTCATGTCCATAGTGACCTGCTTTTACTTTCATCTTGACTCCAGTCTGGTGAGCCATTCAACCTTTGTTTGGTGGCAGTAGAGCCAACACAGCATCCTCTTGCTGAAGTCTTAGAGACAAATTTTAATATTAACATGCATTACCTTTAATGCACTACCTGTCAATAATCCATATTAAACTTATTAATTCTTTTAGTATTCTATACCCTGTAACAAAATTTTTAACCCTTTTTCTTTCCATTTTATCTTGAGTATGTAGCATATCTAGTGCTGAGTAGTAAAATGATAATATCTGCTTGAGTATGTAATATATGCTGAGTAGTAAAATCACTGAATACCAGTAGTTTGACATGTGGTCAGATCCTGGCGAATAGGCTGGCTGTGAGATTTTCTGCATGCGTAATGTGAACAATTAGTTTCTTCAAGAGGTTCTTTATAAAAGATTCCACTCCTCAGGCACATAGCTCCCATGTGCTTTGCCATAATCTAGTCCAGTCTATCGATGAAATGTTCATTTATGTTCGATACTTAAAAAGTTACTCATTGTTAAATGATGTATTCAAGTAAATTATTTAATACCAGAGAAGGAGAATTTCCTTAGAAAATTACATTTGAAGCAATGTGTTTTGTACAGCATTTGGAATTAGTTTTTCTGCCTGTAACTAATAAACCTACTGTATAGCCTCCGATACCACTGATGTGTTTTAGTGTATACTGAAATTTCATCTTTTTAATTTGTTGAAAATGAGTTCAAATGCTGGTATTGCATGTTTACATGAGATGTTACATAATTGTTATGTGAAGTTAGTTCCAGTAAATGCAAGCTTTTAATATCTCTTTTTGGATGTAAAATAATCATAATTTTCTTTAAAGGTTTCATCAGTAACAGTCAAAGGATAAATATTTCATTTATTAATTTTGTGATGATATGTAATTCTGTGGAATCATATGCATGTAGATATATAGATAGATGATTGCTAAGTGTGAGACGTGATGTGGTACTGTCATAGAGTTAACATTCCACTTAATTGAAAGAAGGGAGAGAATTGTATTTTATCATAGAGTCCAGAAATCGGTCTTCTCCAACTTTTTGTAATCACTCTTCCCTTTTTGTTATTTTTATTTGTTTATTTAGTGGTGAAAACAGATTTTTTTAAAAATAATATAAACATGTTACCTCAGTATATTGTATACAAAAATAGGGATCCAGGCAGACTTTTCAGGTATCTGTATTCATTACTGAATATTTGAATCTGCTTTGTACAAAGTGTTTCTTGAAATAAAATGACAGTCTATAATATACCTCACTATTGTTGTAGCAACCTTCCCATTAAAGTGTAAAAAATTTCTATATTTTGCTGGTGTATAAACATTTTAGTGATGACTGTATATTAAATTCATTTTTTCTATAGCAACCACTTCTTAAAATATCTTTCTTTTGTCAAATGTGAGGGATCTTTTTGACAAATACCAACGGTACCAAAAATGGAAGTATCAAAGATATCTATAAAGTTAGGGGGAAAGGAATTCTTTATATATTCCAAGTATTATTTTTACATTCAGCAAGAAAATTCATCATTAGATAAGCACTGGCAGTATTCTAGAAGAGGATTTCTAAAACTGGTATCTCTTTTCCCGTGCATCTTTTCATAAACAGTCATTCCTCACCTTGAGGCGCACCTAAAAATTTCCTTCTGTACGTGCAGAAAAATTGAATGAAAAAGGATTTATAGGTTACTCTGAAACCTTCTATATTTATAGTGGATGGCAGCTCAGCACAAACCAGTCCATACATTTTAGCCATGTTTAGTTTTTTAAGACCCTCATTTTTCAAAGAAATCTTCCAGATTTTTTTAAGGTATGAAAGGAATCATTTGAAAAGAAATTTCTATGTTATTTTTTGGTTGTATGCTAATATCCTTATCCTATATTAGTTTTAAATTCTTATTTTGAAATCTTGCCTAAATTCGAACAGCGAACCTCAGCTGTTCCCAAAGCGGGCTCACCGAGACTCTAGGACAACTGAGAGACTGTATTCTTTGTTTCTCCACATCTCATTGATCAGTTCATTAACAGAAAGGTGGGTCCACATCCGTGTTTCATTTCCTGTTTCTTCTTTTCTCTCTCTCTCTCTTTTTTTTTGGAGGGGGGGGGGCATTTGGTTATCAACTAACAAATTGTTGGGGTGATTTTCTGAAGATCGAGGATAATTTTATCAGTTAGCTGTTTGGTTTTTCTCTTTCATTCAAAGCTTCACTACTGCTGTGTTTAATAGTTTTGAGTTGTAGACATTTATTTTATAGTTTATAATTTCTAATTGTAGATATAATATTAGTTTTTTTCGGATTTTTAATTATTTTCCAAACGGATCAGAGAGGCCTGATCATTTCTGAAGCACTTTAAATTTACATTTAAAGTGATACACGAATTGCTTTCAGATAGTCAATCTGATACGGATCCTGGTACATGTGCAAAACATGCAATATTGGGTTGTGCGTTTTCAAAGAAGGTGTCACTTTCTTCGAAAAGTACCACCATGAAAAAAGTAGACTACAATGTAAATATGTAATGTAAATATCATATACCCAAGTTACTTTTTTCCCATTCATATGCATGTAATCATCATATAACCAAAAAAGAGTTTTTTAGGGGGGGTGTAGAGTAGCAGATCTCCTCGTGGCACACCCTGGGTAATGCTAAATCTGTTACGGTATTCAGAATCTAGTGTTTTTTAATTGTACTTACTCTTTTATGCGCTTCCCAGCAATGCTCATTTTGGCACCCTTTTCGAAGCTCTATTCAGTCAGTGTGCCTGCTTCAGGCTCACCCACAGAATTAGAACAATAAGTGCTATCTTCACAAAATTTTACTTGTGTACTTGTCTAGGCCTAATTAGACTGCCTACTTTTTTTTTTTTAATCGAAATTCCAAATTTAAAAGGTAAGAGTGCCAGAAAGGGTTAAGCTATAATCCTATTAATTTTCATCTTATGTGCCCCCGCTCCCAACTTCATGAACTGGAAATTGAATAGGTTAAAAATTATAATAAAAACTTACCAGTCTGTTGGTAATTAAAATGTTTAACTGAAAATAAGAAGTAATTTAAAAGGGAAATCATGAAGTTTCTTTTATGCAAAGTGTATTAAAGGTAATGAATAAAAATGTGAGCCATTTTATATTTTTATGAGTACGAAAAAGCTTCATCACAGTTTTGCAGAAAAAGATATTCTGTTGTGAGTCATGTACATTTTTCATGTCTGATACAAAATTTATGTGGCATATATTTCTTTTTAGTCTTTAAAGATTTTGAAGAATTCAGACTTAAAACCATATGTTGTATTTGTTGCTCCACCTTCCTTGGAAAAATTGCGACAGAACCGCATTAAAGCTGGGGACAATCCCAAAGATGAAGAGCTTAAAGACATAATTGAAAAAGCTCGAGAAATGGAGGACAATTATGGACATCATTTTGACATGGTCATCATCAACTCTGATATTGATAAGGCTTTCAATGAACTTCTTAAAGAAATAAATACACTTGAAAGAGAACCTCAGTGGGTGCCTGCAATATGGCTCAAAAAAGACACAAACTAGACACTTCTAGGCATCTGTGTGTATAGTAGACTATTATATTGTTCAGCTTTATTTCAAAGCTAAAAACATCAAAATAATGGAGAGAACTTTTATGACAATGATGTGCAAACACAATATTTGATGTAATATTTTAATGAAATCTATTAAATTTGAATTATCTTTGAAACAATGCATTCCATTTCCATCAAAAAAAAAAAAAAAAACTCCACGATTACTTTTAAAATAGGTTCTTCTTTGTTTGCACATCATTGGTGTAGATGATTTGTATAGTTTAAGATATGTCCTGTAAATATGTATACATTTGTGTAAGAAGTCCTACAAACATCCTTGTGATGCAAACTGACAAATGGGACTTTGTGCTGATGATCCCTTACATAAGAATGTTGCAATGTTTACCAAAATTTGTAATACTTAATTTTGATAAAGTGGGAAATGCAGAATAATTCTATTTTTAAAGATATATATGTAAAAAAGAAAAAGTATTATCAAAAGTGTCATGGAAATTTGAAGTCGTAGTATACCAAATGGATTTTTTTTAATGTGAATTTTCAGTTTAAGTTCTTTTCGCACTTTCGTAAGTGGTATTTATAATTTAGTGTATATCTTGAGTAATTTAAAATATTGTAGTATTAGTACAGATTTATGTGTATTGAATATTGTTTTTATGCAAGACTTCAGTTGAGTACTGTATTTAGAAAGCTAAAACAAAATCATTCATTGTATATTAAAGCTGTGATGTTACTAGTGCAATTTCATTCATTATAATTATCATTTATAATTCAACATTTGTTTTAGCACCATCTTCTGATTATAAAAAGTATATGCAGTAAATCATTAACAACCAATAAATTCATTTTTAATGTAAAATCCCCATTGTGATGATTTTCATCATTAATCACAACTTTTACCTTGTGATTTTTGCTATACATATGTAAATAATGTGTGTTTACTAAAAACCTGAACAAGATTTTTAAAACATGGGGAAAATCAGACTGAATATTGAATTTTCCAGAAATAGTAACTTTAATTTACATAATTCATTCACATGCTTTTAACTGCCTACTTTTAATTCAAATGTATTCCTTTTTAATTTACTAAAGAAATATGTATATATTGTGTTTAAAGTGTTTTAAATATTGTAATGAAAAATGAATTTTTTACCAGAACTTCTTTACTATCGTGCTGATTTCTTAACATGAACAATTCTGAAAGAAATTTACTTTTTGTAATAGAACTGCTTGAAATTTTAGTCGCATATGATTAATTTTATATTTTTTAATTCAATAAAACCAAATAGCAAAATATCATTTGAAAATGATGTTACATCTAACTAAATGGAAATTAATTGGTTTAAATATAGCATTCAAGTTTTGAGTGTCTTCAAAAAAACATTTTCATTGCATCTCTGGCAATTTTGTGATTTTTAAAAGCTCAAAATATCACCTAAGAAAAATGAAACTTATTTAAAAATATTAATGTATTTTAATAATCACATTTCATAAAAATTATATATGGATGTTATGTGAAATTTGTACAGAGTTAAAATTTCAAAGTTCCATCTCTCATTGTAATGAGAAAATCCTTTGAAAATATACAAAACAAGTATCAAAAATCTGATGAATGTTCTTATGAATTTCTACAGTTTTAGTAAAATAAAGCTATTTTGAAATGTTTTGTGATGTAATCTTATTTCTATATTTATTTATTAATGTTTTACATTCCTCATTTTTAAGCTAAACATTATAGCCTAGCTCTAGTTCTTGGCATTACAGAATCTCTTTAATGTGTCAGCTAGTAATTTTTTTACATTTTGAGCATTGTATGATTGATTAAATCAAGTGATTCCTAGGAGGAATCACTTGATTTAAAAGTTAATAGATTTATGTGAAATAAACAAAAACGGTGATAACAAGACCAAATTATTTCGCTTTTAAGGAAAACAAGGCACTGCTTGTTTGTAACTGCATTTTAAGTGCTACATATACATTTCAGATTAAGTTTGCTAGTGAGCAGTTAATTACTTTGAAAACGGATAGTGAAATCAATTAGATTCAGATTAGACAAGTGTCACTGCATGGGTAGTAGTGCAATGACATGTGAGATATTTCAAGAAAACAGATTATTCACAGTGTAAAACAGAAAGGAAGCACTTCTGATCAGAGACTTTCTAACATGGGTCAGTTGTGTTCATGAAGTGAAAATTACTAAGCTGTTTTCTGTTTGCTGATGAATCAAGATTCAAGTTGAATCATTTTCCTAATTTAAAGTCATCATTTTGTCTGGAGAACAAACAGTGCAAGATCCTTTGGGTTGGTACTTTACTGGCAATAAATAATAGCCATACCATATTGTCTAGAAAGCTAATAATAATGTCTGAATGTTGTATGTTATAGAATAAGGTTTTTTTTTTTTTTTTTTTTTTTTTTTCTTATGTCAAACTTTTCTATAGAGCTGTTGATTTCATTTCATTTTTCTCATTGAATAGTAAGACTTATCTGCCATGGCTGCACTTGTCAAGAATACCTTCAAACGGAAGATATACAAAGAAGGGATTTGTGAGATTAAAAACCCCACAAACAATGCATGGAATTGTCTTAGCAGAGAAGATGCTGGAAAGCAGTATCCATAAATTTTTGTGAGCCAACAGTGAGCACTTGTCAAAGGAATGAAATTTATCAAACCATGCTGTTATTTTATATGTGTGCTGCATTTGGGCAAAAACAAGTAAGGATACCTATACATCATATATAATTGTGTCAGTGACTCCATATTCCTTGTCAGCTGCGTTAAAATATTTCTTTGGTTGTGAATGATTAAGCAGAGATTGACTCAAAGTTCAATACGCGAAGCTAAAACCAAGACTGATGTGGCATCTTAAAGTAGATGTCATTAGCTGGCTGTACTGATGCAGGAGCGGTAATAATTTCCATTGTCTGGTACACTGCACAAAAAAAAAAAAAAAAAAAAAAAAAAAAGTTCTATATCTCTCGTTCTACTGGGCCAACAGCCAAAATTCAACTTGCATTTTTCATGCATCGAAAACGCAACTTAGGATATGTATTAGATTTATATGTAGCATTGTTCTAATATAAGTATTTTGACACAAAATTGGACTTTTTCTGAAATGACATGCCAATTTTTTTCCAATATATATATAAAATAAAATTGCCTAATATAAATATAAAATTACCTAAATTACATATTAGTAAATATTATGGTAATTATTCTGGTTGGTTAGATTTTTACAATTTATTTGAAAGCTCTGTTCATAATAATCCCAAATTAAGCAAAGTTGATAAATTTAATTATTTGAAATCCTATCTCGGTGTACCGCGGCAGCATGTATTAGTGGATTTGCTTTAAGTGATGAAAATTATGCTAAAGCACTTGATTTATTGAAAGAAAGGTTCGGAAATAAAAACATTTTGATTTAACACTTATTTGAGTGTTTTGCTGAATTTAACTCGGTTAAAAATTCCTAACGATATTATAAGTTTACGAAATTTATATGATACACGGAAACGCAGATCAGAAGCTTAGATTCTTTAGGAATTACAGGTGAATCATATGCAAATCTATTGACGCCAATTTTAATGAAATTAATTCCTTTAGAATTCGTTTTAGAATTTAATCGCATTCAAGGCGACAAAGAATTTGACTTAAAAACTCTTTTGCAATTCATTAATAAAGAAATTCGAAGCCACAAGAGATCCTTTCCAATAAATAATTATAAATCATCGAATCAACAAGTGCACTTATGCTCCTCGCAAGAGAAAATAAAAAATAAAAATTCTACTTCCATTAGACATAACTCTTCAAGACCTCCGCATAAGAGGGAAAATTCTTTCCCCTCCCCACACACGCATGAATTCCTGGCGTCAGTCGAAAATGTAATGTGTTTATTTTGTAGCAAAGGTCATAAATCAGAATCATGCTCTTCATTTAATGCAAATGAATGGAGAGATATATTGAAGCAACGTAGGTCAATATTTTCGTTGTTTGACCCCAAGCCATCGTGAAAGAATGTTTGAAAAGGGATTTGTGTCCCATCTGTAGCAAACCTCACCATGTTTCAATTTGTTTTCGAAATCAAAGTAATGCCACACATTATTTCTCCAAAGGTAGAAACCGATAATGTCGTATCGGCGAAAATCGTATCCGCGAAAAGGAATAGTATGTTACAAGCATGTTCAACCTGAATTGGTATATGGAAAAGAGCAGGAAATTGTTAGAATTTTCCTTGGACAATGGTTCACACCGCTCCTTTGCTTTTATCAGCTATTTCCAAAAGATTTAACTTTCCAGTTGTTAAAAAGGAAAGCCTTTCCATTTGCACATTTGGTGCTAAGGAAACAAAATCATTTAATGTAGTTAAACTTAAATTAAAGAATAGAGATGATCCAAATTTATGCATAGAAATTGAAGCACTGGAGACAGAACATATTTCCGGTACACATTTACCGACTCCGGATAAAAATATTGAGAAACAATTTAGACGTTTAAAAAATGTACAACTAGCAGACTGTTATGAATTTAACAATAAAGAAATATCAGTACTGAAAGGTGAATTACACGCCTAAGCAAAATCCTCGTTGCAGTTGAAACAATATTTGGGTGGTGTTTGCAAGGTCAACCTGCCCTGGAACTTAAATGAAATGTTTGCAATGAGTGTTATAGTAAACGAATCCAATATTTCTGATCAACTCGAGGAATTTTGGGATTTAGAGAATTTGGGTATCGAGGCAGAAGTAGCTGAAATAGAACCCACTGAGAAAGAAATAATGAGTGAATTTGAATCCGGAATTACATATCAAAATAAGCGATACAGAGTGTAACTGCCCTGGAAACCAAATATGAAGACATTATTAGAAAATAACGAGCAGATAGCAATGAAAAGATTTTTGAGATTGAAATCATCTTTTAAAAATGACCCATCCTTATTTTGTGAATATAACGCTGTTCTAAAGAATTATCTTTCGGAGAATATTATTGAACCTGTCCCAGTTGATGAAGTAAATTTACGCCAAAATACATTTTATCTACCTCATCGAGCTGTAATACGTACGGATAAGACTACAAGCAAATTACGCATTGTGTTTGATGCTTCGGCGCATGCAAAAGGTCAATTATCTTTGAACGATTACGTATACACGGGACTTAATTTTATGCCTAACCTATTTCTTCTTTTGATTCAGATTTAGAACGAATCCGATAGCATTTGTTGCAGATATTAAGATGACCTTTCTCCAGATTGAAATAGATGAAAATGAACGAAACTACACCAGATTCTTCTAGGAAGAAGATCCAGGAACTGATGATGAAAACAAAGAAATTGGAAATTTTTCGGATGGCAAGGGTGTTATTTGCGGGTGAGATCTAGCCCGTTCCTCCTTGCAGCCACAATGAAACATCACTTGAAAAGGTACGTAGATATATTTCCTCTGACTTCTAACTAAGCATCTTAATGAATCATTGTATGTCGACGATTTTATTTGTGGGCAAATCACTGTTCAACAGGCTCTAAAGACTTGTAAAGTGAGTGTAGACATTCTTAAAGAGGCAAGCATGGACCTTCGAAAGTGGAGAACCAATTCTCCTGAGCTAAGTAAAGAATTTAATAATTTACTTCAATGTAGATCAGGGTGAAGAGTCTTTAGATACAAAATTGATAGCTTCAAAAGTATTGGGAATTGGTTGGGATGAACAAACTGACACGTTTTATTTCGATACCAGAAATCTGGAAACATTTCTTTTAAAAAGAACTAACACAAAAAGACACTTACTACAAGCAGTAGGTCGACTTTTCGATCCAGTAGGTTTTATAGGACCGTATACTATTAGAGTTAAGTACTTGATACAAGAAATTTGGTGTTTAGGATTAGACTGGGATGAAAAATTGCCCAAACAGTTAGAAATTGCTTGGAATAAATGGTGCTGTGAGATTTACGATGTAAAGGAAATAAGTTTTCCCCGATATTATTTTCAAAATTCTTTGCCCAGTCATGCAATCACTATTCAATTACACTGTTTTTCAGATGCATCTAAGAAAGCTTATGGTACTGTTGCGTACTTACGCATAGAATTAAAGAGTGGAAATATCATTTCTAGGTTTATAGCATCAAAGAGCAGGGTAGCTCCGTTAAAAACCCTTTCGATTCCTAGATTGGAACTCATGGGTGCACTTTTGTCTTCAAGATTGAGCAATAAAATTGTAACTGCACTAAGTTTTCCAGATACTCGATGTTTTTGGACGGATTCCTCAATAGCTTATTACTGGATTAAAAGGTGATCCAAATAGACATAAGGTGTTCGTGAAGAATAGAATAAAAGAAATACAAAAATACAACAATCCAGAAGAATGGCATCATTGTATAGGAAAGAATAATCTCGCCGATTTGATTTCTAGGGGTTTATCCTTAAGCGAGCTCAAGAATAATCAGCTCTGGTGGCATGGACCCTGTTGGTTGACAATGAATAATACAGCATGACCCCTTGGAAGAAAGCGAAGTAGATGTCGATAAGTTAGAGTTTAAGAAGTCAGTTGTTGTAAATGCAACTGTTGAAAATAGCCAAAATGAAAACGATTTGATCACAAAATACTCCTCATTCAGTAAATTAATTAGGATAACTGCTTTATGTTTGAGATTTATCAATAACTGTAAAGCAAACCCAGAGTTGAGAATA